CAAATATTAAGAGCCTTTCACGGCTTTGATTCACAAGCCAAAGCAACTCTTGCAAGGTGCGGCAACGCAGCTTTGTAAGGTAATGTTGTTCTAAAATGTGCACTGACCCTTGGGGTGTCTGCACAGTAAGTGCAAGCCCCTGAATTTCCCTGCGTGTCTGTGTAGCACCACCTCCGCCTCTCCTGTGGCCCCTCTTCTACGACCCCCTGCACTGCTTTCTCTGTGACCCAACATCCCAGAAACCACTGCCTCAAACCACTGCTGTACTTCTGATATCCCGAAGACCTTGGTACTCTATCTCAGTAGGGCTGCTTTCTGGATTACGTATTTTTTTTTCTTACTAATAGGACTAGTTTGTAATCAGAAACAAGAATTCCTTGTTACTGTGTGTTATACGCACATATTGTCCTGCCTGCCCGGTAGGTTGAGCACGTGTTCGAAAGACCCAGGGTCTGGTTCAAATCCCCCCTGAAGTTTTTTAGGGATCTTTTCTGCTGACTGAACGGCGCTTCAGATAAGGCTCTTAGACTGTGAATGGCATGAAAGCATTCATCCCAAGGGTGTTCTGACTCTTCCCATCCTCTTGTTGACTGGAACAACTGAAAGATTTAGTCTGGAACGTGGATGAGTGCTCTGGGGAAAGATGTTTTTCCCAAATAATTTTGATCACAAGTAGCAAATTCAGGGACAGGGAAGGAAGCCCCTTCTGCACACTTTTCGTAATGCCATAGATCCAGAGCAGTAAAACTGAAATTTGAGTGTATTTTATGCCTGCAACTAGGGAACAGCCCAAGTGACACCCTGTGCTATGCAGGGCTTCTGGTGACAAGCTCTCAAACGGTCACTTGTGTGCAGCAAGAGACAACTCTTGTATAGTAGGTGATATTTCCATTACAATTCTCTACTAAAAGTTTGATGATTTTCATTAAAATTCACCACAGACTGATGCTACCAGGACCATCTACCTCCCAGGCAAACAAGCCTGCCTCACTAACCCAGAGACAGACAGCCGAGATCTTAATCATTTCTAAAAATCTGACATTCTTTTATATTTGAGTGATGCTAATAACAACTGCTATTTTAGTTTCCCTCTCTGATGCCTTCCCTTCTTACCCATTGCTGATGTTGTGACAGTAATGACAAGATGACAATATAAAGCCTGAAAAATCTAAGCATAAGCCAAGGGTTAAAGGGACCCTTCTTCAGTGCATTTCAACCTCAAATATGGCTTTTATGAAAATAAGGTTATAAAAAATTTAAGATAAAGACACATACTGGTATGTCTTCAACTGCAATGAAAACAATTTCTTTTGTTTGAATTTCAAATCTTCCTACAAGGTATTTCCAGCACTGGGATAAAATGCAAGAGACAACAAGAAAAAGTGAACAGTAATAGAAGTAAAACTGGACAGTCTGTTATCTTTCCATGAACGCAAAAAATAAAGAGTGGCCTTAATAATGAAAGTAAATTATATTTTTAAAGGTTATTTCTATTTTATTACTCTAAGATATTAAAACTATTAACAAGCTTTAATGTACAGTTTTGAAGTACATATACATCATTGAGCTGATTCACTAGCAGATTGCTAGAAGGCTTTCTGAGGAGAGAAAGTGGGGCTTTCCTACAGCTCCCAGATGTCTCATTTTTAAGGAAAATAGAGCTTCAAGAACCATCATAGCTAGACAACCATTAAAGGAAACAACATCAGGACCCTGCCAGTTTGGTTTTATGTAACACCTCATTAACTAAGTCACCATTTCTCTACCTCAGTTTCTGGTTATGTGGTGCAGGAGAGAGTAATAAAACCAAAGGAGGTTAGTTTCCAAAAGGAAAAACCCACGAACTAATGGTTATTACTCATTTTAATCTTAGACAGCAGTGATTTTTCCAGAACCATGTATAGCTTGTTCTATAAGGTAAAATCAAGAGATTAATTCCCTTAAATTATCTTTGAGGGTGATTACTCATGGTCTTTTGTTACTGCCTGAGTGCTCCTTTTACTTGCTCGTTTGAAAAAAGCAACAAAGAAATTGGTGCGATGGAACAAGAAACTATCCTACAGTAGCTAATCAATATTTCTGTATCTCTGAGGTGGCATCACGTTAAATGAGGAAAATTCCAATTTCCAGTTCTTCATTCAAGGTTAATTACAGGAGGCTGATTTCACAGTCTCAGGGCCTGACAGGCCAAACACAAGAAGCCTCAGAGCAACAGACCATGTATAAAAAATAGATTGTATTTCTTGAAGTTCCTACAGGCATAATGGATGGGATGTCAAGAGAGACAGCTTGAAGGTAGCCGCACTGACTATATGCTCTGCGATTCTGATGACCTAGGAAGAAGGATACCTCGCTTCTGCAGCCACGGGCCAATTCTGTCAATAAATGTAACATCAGTGGGCAAATGGCATTGCTGGAGGCACAATGTGGCCAGTTCAAAGTCTGAATTTCCAATTGCCCGGGCCACAGAATTAGGGAAGCTCAAATTCATGCTGGGGTAGAAAAATTTTCATTTCCAGTGTCACTTTATTGCTCTTAAAGTAACAGTGATGTTGATGTGTAATGGCTCTGAAGCCTTACTTGATAAATGCATGTTGTATAACCAGCTCAGAAATGTTTGTAATTTATTTAATTTAATATTGGTTTCGTTCTTTTTTGATAATAAAGAATGTGTGAACAATCATCTGCTTCTTCTGCTGATTCGAGAGCAGGCTTTCCATGGCAGCTCCCGTCCAGTATTAAGCATCTCAGGACAGTTTACGCCATGGGAACATAAGATAAATCCTCAAATTCAGCACAAGACAGCTGTAAAGAAGCTGGTGAAACCAGGCAAGAAGGAACGCATTTTGAAAACCAGGCGATTTAAACCCTGTCGGGAGTGGGGCTAGCACACCCCAAGGCACACCACCATGCCCGACTCGGGCCCGTCCCTCAGCCTGGTCCTCACAGGCGTCCTCCTACCCAACTTGTGGCTCTTGCCACCTCACTGAACCGGGGGGTGGTTATTCCCCACGGGCACCCCTCTTCCCCCCAAGCACCCCGTCATTTTGGCAGCAGCATACTGAGCCCCAGCGCTCTCGGCCTCCCAGCGGGCTCCAGGCACGGCCCAAACCAGGGTGAGGGGACATTCCCATTATTGCTTGCTGCTGTGGGTACCAGACACCGTTCGCCACGGCTCCTAAACGTCCCCTCGAGAAAAGAAATACGCGGTTTCACCGAAGGAAGAGAGAACCAACCCGCCCTGCCCACCCGCCCGCCGCCATTTCAAATGTGCCGCGGCAGA